GATGATTCAACACCCCCCCCCCCACACCCCAAGGTCAAGAAACTTCACATCCCTCGACAACAGGACGCATTCATGAAAGATCTTAAGTTCAACATCATCCATAAAAACGAGGTCAAAGGAAGTTCTTCTCGCTCCCTCATATTAGTCAGGATGCTCTCGGCAGCTTCATAAATGTGGATCAGAAGGAAATTTTTATCCATGAACTACAGAGCTTTGTGGGAAAAATAACTAATGGTGAGATAAAACATTTAATGAACATGGCCACAGATCTAACACCTCATTTCCATGTCTCAGAAACTACTTCAAACTCTGTTCTGCCTCTGTGCGTTTGACCTGTGACCACAAGAGGGAGACAGGCCTCTGGTAGTACGTCAGGACTCTCTCACACAAACCAACACACGGATACACACACCGACCAACCGTTCCCTCTTTCTTTCACATCTGAATCTGTGCCACGAAGTTGAAAAACATTTTGATCTCAATTTAAAGCCTGAAAAAGAGACTGATCAAAACTACTTTGTCCTTCAGTCCTCTACTTTCCTCGACTCTTTATCTTTGCTACTTTATTGCGTAGCCAAAAATGAACTTTGTGTCCATTACTTTAAAATCCTTATACTGCCTGAGTCTAGTTAAACATCACACAGAAGCAAAAAGAATAGTGTAAACAAGGATAAGTGCAGTTTTGGAGAAAGCACTTTTACTAAAGTGCTGTACTTCAATACAATTTCAAGGCACTTTCCATTTTCTGCTGCTATATTCCACTTCTACTTTGCATGTTAAGATTTTACATACATAACACATGATCTGTTTTTCAGATTAAGATACACAATAGTATGAAAAGTAGTTCAACTGCATACAAATGCATAGTTGCTACAACAAGGGAGGGAGAGGAGAACCAACCTGGTGCACACTCTGCACACTGTGGGAAACATGATGAAGCTTTAAACTTCTGAGCAGACTCCTGCTGGGCTGCCTAGTCGCTGAAAGGGGTCAGAGGTCACAGCAGGAGCAGAGGCAGGAGAACCAGTGGTGGCATGGTGTGACCTTTAGAGAGGAGGAGGGAGGGGTTTCCTTAGCTGCAGGGAAACACAAAGTGCCAGAGGTCACATTCAAGATTATTGGAACAATATGTGGGGCTCAGAGTGGTGATATTCAATGCGGAGAATAACGGAGAAGCAACAACATGCAACACGCTCAATATTTAGGGGTGTATTAGCTTGTAGTTTATTTATTTATAGGCATGCTAAACATGTGACTCCAAGAGGGTAATGTCTCTTATTTGGTCTGTCAGTCCAGCTCTTTGATCCAGGGTGAAATACATTGACAAGTATCAGATGTGTGCCATGTAATTTGGTCCAGGATGAATGCTAACAAAGAATCCTAATTATGCAGATTAGTATTGTATAATTAAACATATACAGCCTGGGATTTAAACAGCTTTATTCATGAATATTCAACCAGGTCTGATGATGTAGAACCAGGCTGGAACAGCTGAGTGTGAGATGACCTGAAGTGACAACTGTACAGGAGATGAAACTGTTTAATGTTGATAATGAAATTGACTTTTTCTGGTGGAACCCTGATTATAAGAGATGAATAGCAAAGTCGTCCATTCAACAGTTTTGTTTCCTTGCACCTAAAACAGGGCTGAACAAGATGAAAAAAATAAAATAAAATCATACTGCAATTATTTTGGCAGACACTACGACTGTGATATGAGTCATGATTTCAGGTGGAGTAGTAATTTTTTTTGCATTTAATTTACACTGGAAAAGAAAAAATGATGATGATAATGATGTGGTTTTTGTTGGGGCTTGTACCAAACAAGCGTGTTCCTTTACGTCTGGAGGATATGACTTGTAGCCCGGGGAGCGTCTCTGTGGCACCACAATGCCTCATTTGTGGTGTGTCGTGAGACATTGTATTCAATGCTATTAATCATTCAGCCCAAACCTAAACTATATGAATGAGTAGTACATCTCCACAGGGGCTTTTAGACTTGTCTAAGTATTTGTAATGTAATTGTTTTCTTTAGGAAAGATAAGATATCACAAGAGGACAACTGTGAACTTTGGAGAAGCCGGAGTCATTGGTTTTACTTCTGATTCATGGCACATTTTATGCTAGACAGTATAGGTATTGTTGCTTGGTGTTTCAAGCATTTTAACTACACCATTGAAAATGCATTCCTGCTCGCTTGAGACACAAACAGCCCAAAGTTGGAGAGTGCTCATCGGGCTTTTTCAGGGCACAGAGTTCAAAGCTACATCGCTCTGCAGACACATCATTTAACATGTGACAAGCATTCAGCTCCCTGACCTCAAACTTGTTATATTCCAAGGGCTGCTTCTGTGTTTTCGCTCAGCATTTCTTCTGTCTCTTTGATGAAAACACTGGATCCTATCATTTGTACTGCGGCCACAGTGAGCATGTGCAACAGGACTGTTTGCTTTGTGCCATTCCCTGTAAACACGGGTCATTTATATTGTTGTGAACACAGATTGGAGCACAATCACAAGGTTTGTAATAACACGTGCTGAACATTTACCACAGTATGAAAATGTGTTTTTCCTTCATGGCTTTTGTACGGCTGTTATAATATCCTCACTGTTGTTCCACTTACTGGCTGATCTTGTGCTGATGTGACAGCGAAACATTTGGTGATAACATGGTATTAAGAGAGTGTGCCTGAAGGAGAATCTGAACTATCCACCAGCTGACTGAGGGAAAAAGACAGCAAACTGTAAACTCACATGGCTAAACATATTACACAACCTTTTTTTTTTTTTTTAAGTGGCATTCTATAGAAGGTAAATGTGTTGACCTCAGATTAAATAATAATATATTTTTCTATCTAACGTAGGTTCCTTTCTCAGCTGCATTTCACTGCATATTTCATACTCTATTTATACTCTCATAAACCACAACAACATAAACACTGACCACTCAAACTATGATGAACCAGTGTGTGTTGTTATGTTTTCAGAGCAAGTTATATTGGGATTTGGAGATATCATTAATATCATAAATATCTCCAGATGTATTTAGGGTTGTGCCAGGTTGTAAATGTTTCATCTTCGAAAATTAGATGTTTTTACAACTTTGCTTCTTTGCCGTTTCATGGTTGCGACATCACCGACAGCACTTGAAGGCAGCACTGCCAGGAGTCAACCCAAAGAGAAACACTGCGCATGCTCGGAGCATCCTCCACCCGGTCGGCATGGTGAGACCCGCTGCAGAGCAGGTGCTGATGCGTAGAAATCCATCTTTCTACCGCATTTTTGTAGAGCAAATGCCAGAATATGTGAGGACTTTTTTTTTTTCTTGGACTCTGCAGGTTATCTGCCTGCCCTCCTCCTCCTCCCCTCCTGGTGGCTCTGTGGGTGGGAGGAAGGGGAAGAGGACACCTTAAGTAGGAGGGAGTGGGGGTGGATGCAGCCTTATCAATAGCAGGTTGCCTCTGATGATCCAGTTCAAACTAGTTCTGCTTTACATATGCGACTGTGGCTCTGCGAGGCTCCTCACTTCCACAAAGAGGCTGAGAACCAAAACAAATTTTCATATGTTGTCTGAGCAACAATGAAAATGTTTCCTCTAATTTTCATAATTAAAAGGACCAAGGGCAACTTTATATCATATTATTCTTTTAGGTGTCACCACGTGTCTGTGATGCGCAGTGATGGTGCTGTTTAGGTTTTATACTAATATGGACATGGACCCTATTGTTTCCCATCTGTATTCAACTGTATAGCGTCCTTATGTATCTATTATTACCATCCTTTTTCTCATCTTTGACGGGAGGTGAAACTATTTTCATGAACTGCAAGTGTCAACTAAACCTTCATTCCCTAATTGTAATTATTTTCACGGCGTCAAAATAAAAGCACACATCAATAATGGCAGCACTTTTGTTCATGAAAGCGTATAATAACAGCCACTGTTAATTACAGGGAGTGTCGGGGGACAACAAAGGACCGGCTCGAGCATCATCACCACCATCATCACCATCACCGCCGCCGCCACAGCCGTGCGTAAAAGCCGGTATTGTCGCCGCGGGTGCTTAGTGTATATGGTGCAAGTCGCCGGCAGATAGGCTAATGGGAGGTTTCAGAGGAGCAGTATAATGCGAGATGTAATCTCCATGTTAGGAGTGATGTATGACAGGGGCAGGGTGACAAAGCGAAGGGAAGCCGTGGAGGAATCACTGCAGTGCAGCAGAGCTGTCAGTCACCGCGCAGAGGAGGCTGCACACAGCCCCACTGTGAGCCTGTAATGTGCAGCCGCTGGCCAGACACCAGGGCGACTGCCAGCTGAATTCAAGGCTTTATTGTGTCATTGAAATCATCGAATTATATCAGAATATTAATGTTTGTCTTACATCAGGGTCTTTTGTATCCCTTGCATTGTCACAGTAGCCTTTTTATCTGCGCAACAGCAGACACATCCAGCGATACGCTCAGGAGCTCTGCCAGAAAAGCTAACTCCAATTGAATTATAAACCTGATCTTAATCATAAACAGTGTAAGAGCTTTTTCTGAGGAGCTGCGGTCCTCCTGTTACTAGGATTTCCTCCTGTTTGACGCATCGCCCCCGCTTTACCTTGCGCCTTTGTGCTGCGTATCGCATCCTCTATAGCCACGGTATCTCAACAAAGCGGGGATCCTCCTCATTGTGAGACATTATGAAGACAAACCTGCTCAGAAACAACCTCTCTACGCAATCTCACCATCACACCCCCTCCTCATGGGCCCACATCCTCAAAATACACATTTCGCCGGCACACACAAGCCTGCTCAGATGCAGAGGGAACCAGTGAGTGTGTGTGTATGTGTGTGTATATGTGTGTGTGTCTCTCTCTCCCTCCTCCCTCGTCCATCAACCGCTTCCACCAATCTGTGCAGCGAGAGGACCTCCCCAACCCCTGAACCTGAATCTACCCGCCCTGCCCGCTTATAAATACTGCTTGAATCACGCCGGCAAGTCTTGGTCGTCAGAAACGCTCAGGGTTGCAGCAGAACATCCCCCTTCGTCTTATCCCCTTCATCGTTTCTCTGTTTTTTAAGAAAATCTCACGCATCATCCATTTTCATCCTCACTCTTCCCACTTTTTTTCCGAACTGTAGTTGTTTTTTGCGGCCAGTTGCATGCATTTTTCGTCTCCCAAAATGGTTTGCGAGACTAAAATTGTTGCGGACGAACACGATGCTATACCTGGGACCAAAAAAGAGTCGATCATGTGGAGCTCTCCTCCGTCCAGCGCGGCTCTGAATCCCGCCGAGGCCAAGGATGTGAGGAAAGATGCGGTTTTTATCCGCGAGTTCGAGCTCGGGGATCAAGAGGAGGTTCGCCGCATCTTTTACGAGGGTATTATGGAGAGGATACCCAACACGGCGTTTAGGGGGATCAGGCAGCAGCCCAAGACCCAGTTTTTATATGCTTTTCTGACAGGTAAGTAGCCTACCATCATTACTCCACATCAGGTAGCCTGTGCCGGCTCCTGTGTTCCTATAAAAGGGCTCAGACCCACTTTTCTAATGAAGAAAAAAGCTTTACTGATAACATTATTTATGTGTGTAGTAATTATTTCTTTATCTTATTTGTCTTTGTTGTGCTTTTTTTGATGTTTTCATCCTAATGTGATTTAGGCTATTTGAGGAACTTGTCTTAAATCCCACACAATCTAACGTTTCTCTGCACTATCTGGCCCTGTAGGCGATGCACAGTTAAGTTGAAATCTGTTGCAACAGCACACTGTTCCGTGGTGGCTCTCTTTCCGCCGGCACACACCGGCATGTTGCTCATCATGCAACAAAAGGCATGGCCATGCGCATGGTGCATGTGTATAACCGGCGAGCCTGCTGATGATGTGATGACATGCCGGTGCCGTGAATGAGTGAGTGAATGAATTTGAGGATTGGTCCAAAGGGTGCGCGCACGCACCGAAAAGGAAAAAGAAAAAAAAAAAAAAAAAAAAAAAAAAACACTCCCCCGCGCCATCCCAACACAGACATTAAAATCCCCCGCGGCGCGCACACGCACAGTGCGGGCGCTTCCCCTCCTCCGCCTCTGCACAGCAGCCAATGCGCCAATCACGCACTGAACTCGTTTGGCTTTTGTTGATGTTGCAGCCGCAAATTTAAGCCTCATGTATCGTGACCGCCGCCGTTACGCACGTCGACATCAATCAAGCTGATATATTCTCAAAATCTACGTAGTTTTGCCACGAAAAAGTGGCTCCCTGAGTCAATTTGGCGTTAGAGTTACGCACCAGACACGAGAGTCCGGCCTGTAATATCCACTAAACAAACTATTTGATTGCTGTTTCTTTGTGGATAATTCAATTGTGTGAGGAGCCATTACCCTCCACATTCCAGCGCTGATGTTTCACACCACGCTGGGGTGCTGTGGAGTAAACTAACCACTAGGTTATTGCATGCCACGCAGCAACATGCTATGCAGCATCCAGCCTGCTTGTTTGTGTTTCCCTTTGCGCCCCCCAGCGTCACATCCGACTAATTACTCCAACATGGAGTGAACTGGTTTGATGAAATCAACACTAGCATGTGAAAACCTGAAGTATTATCCTGTCAGAGTGTGTGGTCCTGCAGCTTTACTAATGTGCCTTACTTCACAGTTTGATGAATGTGACTTTGCAGCCATGTGTGAAACTAATCCTGATCTCTCTTTACCAAAGTGTTCACATTGTACCATTATCACAGACTTTGATGCAACTGTTTTGATGCTTAAATATGTCATATTGAATCTGCTCTTTTTCTTCTGTGTCTGTGTGGGGTCAAATTCCGCCAAAATCAAACATGTGATTCTCTTTTCTGACAGGTTTCGTTTATTTTTCTTCCATTTCTCCATAGTATTGTGCTTTTTCGTGACCAAATCCGTCACGCTGACCTGCTGTGCACCCCTCATTCTCATGGGTGCGCGCTACTACTACAGCAGGAAAGTTATCCAGAGTTATCTGGACTGTGCTCTGCACACGGACATGGCTGACATTGAGGCTTATTACATGAAACCCACAGGTAAGACGTGGGAGAAACCTCACTGTTCTCACTGTAGTGTGAATAATGACATAAATGCACATTGTCTGGTTTGTCATTTGGCAATGCTCCACCAACAGTGTTGATTTTAAAAAGTAATCTAGAAAACTGATGAGAAAGGTACCGTGTAAAAACACTATAGAGATAAGGTGTGTAACTTTGCTACAGCAGGGAGGACAGACACTTGAAGCTGTAAAAAGTGGCTGGGTCTAAGGAGTCTTCAGGCAATGCAGAGGCAACTCATCAAATATGCAGTTCGTCTCTCTGCTTTCCTTGTCCTCCACCCTTCTTTCCCACCCCTCCTCCCTGTCTCTTTCTCCGCTCCTTCCCCCACTTGCTTCCTCTCTGAGCTCCACTTGGTCACATGCAGGGGGGGTGTGTGTGTGTGTGTGTGTGTGCATCACAGGGCAATTGATCGCACGGAGAAAACTGCTGATACACTTTTCTGCAGTGCTCTCTGTGTCTGCAAAGGTTCATTTCCACCACTGAAGCTTCTAATTGGAAAGATCCCAGCGTTATCCCAAATTAGTCTTCTTACTCAGGAGTTCAGTTTTGTGTTTGGGCGAGGGCCAACTACAAAAACATGACACATTTTCACACATTCCCCTTGCCCTGGAACTTCTTGGACACATTTATCCCCTTTTAACCCAAACCACATGGCCAATATAAAAAGCAGGTGTTAGTTAAGCCAGTCAATTGCCCCTCATTGTCTCTATCTCTCTGACATTGTGTCCTCTGGCCTGGTAATCCACTGCATACACAATTGCAATTTAGCATTCCCATTATTGCTGCAGGGCTGTGATGGTTTAGAGGGGGTCAGGCACCACTGCTCTTGGACAATGCTAATGATTATATCCATGCGAACTGAATGGGCCCAGGGGGGATGAACACCTGGGCACCAACATGAAGTCCTGGTGGAGAGGCACCTCTGACATCGCTGTCATTTGTTGTAGCGTGTGTGTTGTGTTATGGCACATAGCAGGAAGGAGCGTGTGATCATGTACAGAGAGCAACGTTTAGCGCCTTGCAGAGGATGTTTTGAACTTAAAGGCCCAGGCTCTATTAGTCTCATGTTACTGTTTGCACACCAGCTTCCGTTACACCGAGTGGCTAACATTAGCTATACAGCAGAGCTAATACGGAGACGTTCCTTGTTTTGACTGAATCTTCTCAACTGTACAAAACGTAGCCATTGTGCAGGTTGTTTCGTATTGTGTGTACAGTGAAACAGTAGACATACGGCATTTGTACATGTGTCAGACAAGCACAAGTGTAGACTGCAACTGTGACATCTCAGAAAACAGTGTCCACAGTGAATACCGGGTGTAGGCGTACTATCAGAATGAGTGAAACAAGTCAGAAATGTAAACTGTAATGTGTAAAAATTAATTATCTATGCTAGTACTGGACATAACAGCCATTGTAATGACAGATAAATGCCCATTAAAGGTGTGTGTGTGAGGTGAGTGTAAGGGTATGTAAGAGATGTTTGCCGCATGTGTATAAAAACGTTTGGAGGACTGTGTGTGAGATGTTTATAAGAACATATGTGTGTGTGTGTGTGTTTTGGTGGAGAAGTGGCACATGGTTGTAGCCGTCTGTGTGTTTCGAGAGAGGGTTTGCTAAATGCGTGGGGCTTCATCTTTCAGAACTTAAAACATCATTTTTAATCAATGTTTAATAACTGAGAGGTCTCAGTGCGGATGATAAATGTCGCAGCTCAGCAATTCATCAACTCAAAGGAGAAGCACTAGTTTAAATCGCAGGACGGGAAGAGAGATCCAGAGACAGAAAGAGTGAGAGACAGGGAGGATGTCCTGAGCTGCCCATTCTTTACATTTTTTAACAATTCAACAAAATGTGAATTGAATAAACTCTAATAAGTAGACACTGACTGAGTAATAGAATGAGACTGACTAAAGGCACATATCCCCCCGTACACATGCCGCGACTACACCAATCAATACTCTTATCTCCTCTGTGTGTGTGTTGTGATCACTCACTCTGCTGCCACTTAAGGCCAGCTGTCACCTCTTTCATTTGCCCCGTAATAAAGTGCATGTGTGCGATTGTGCGATTGTGTGTGTGTGTGTGTGTGTAGGTGGAGGGGTCATAAAGCAAAATGAAGGAACAATGGCTGGGGGTATAAAGGTATATGGCACTGCAAAAAAAGAACCAATAGCTTGTTTCCCCTGACATAACAGCTGATGATGCTGGAAGAGTTTTATACACAAATTCAATTTTCAAAGCACAATTTGAAATGAAATTGAATCTATTTAAAGTAAATGAAGGAACTGGATTATCAGTTCAGCTTTTTCCAATCAAGCTGAACTTTCAAAATTATTTTGGACTCTGAAGACCATTATTTGACTTAAACAGTTCAATCGGAGGTTGACAAGGTCAAACTGGTGAAATTACAATACAACATCTGCTGGCCCAAGTCTCATTGCAAGTGAAAAACCAATAATCAGTCAACCTGGCAATCAATATGTCACCACTGATGTGTTAAAAACTACGCTTCGTTTGCTGAGAGGAACTGAAAATGAAGACAAAAGACTAAACCATTGAGGGTATTTTATCCAGATAAAACAGTTGCAAAATACCACTGAACTTATTCGTCCATAAGCTTTTATCCACGAGCATCTGACCCTAATTCCTTCTGCTGCACTCATCTAATCTCTTTGTAGTCCTGCACTGGAAGTTCTCAACAATACACAGTGTGGATACGTTATCGGATACAGGGGTGCATGAGTCAGACCACAAGGACAAGACCTGCAATTCCCTCAAAATAAGAAGACAACACTGAGTTATACTGAAGCTATTTGGAAGTAAACTGATATTGTCGACAAGTTACAGGCAGCAGCATTTTGTATATAATATATATATAATAAACAGCAGAAGAATAACTTCCTACTTGACAAGCTAGAGTAGACTTGAGCTAAATTAGACTTGCTGGAATCGTGGGTTACCAAGGTAACGTTATTTCTTTAGCCTTCCAGAGCTTCAGTATGCCGCTGAAATAGTGAAGTCTACATCTGAAAGCAACAAACACCAGCTGTTTTGATGTTGGTGTTGTGCTCATTCTCATGGCCCTTTTCCAGTGTTTATCACTATATCTGGGCTCGGTTCATGTCAGCACTGTTCTCATCAGGCAGTGCTCACATGGTTATCACATGGCTTCTCTCATAGGAAATGAATGCAACTATCATTACTATGACACTCCGTCACTTAATCTCATTGAGCTGAGGAAGATACAACAGCTTTTCTGAAAAGGGAAACCGACTGTAAATACAGAAAGGAGGTGTGCAAGCAGTAAGTGGAAGACATATCCCCTCGCTTGAACTCTTTACTTGCTCAATCACTTCAGGTCACTCTGAAGCAGCTTAGTGCCTAAAAAGTGAATGTAATATAATGAGGGCGACACTAGACGCTGAGCCAAACCCTCCGTGGCTGGAAGTGATAGCCACTCTGTTATACTGGCTGTTTAATGAGGCGTCATCACCACTGCAGGGTCTTATCGAGGCAGGAGACGTTATAATATCTGCTGGTCAGTCCCATTGTAGCTGTGTGCGTGTGTGTGTGTGTGTGTGTGTGTGTGTGTGTGTGTGTGNACTGGCTGTTTAATGAGGCGTCATCACCACTGCAGGGTCTTATCGAGGCAGGAGACGTTATAATATCTGCTGGTCAGTCCCATTGTAGCTGTGTGCGTGTGTGTGTGTGTGTGTGTGTGTGTGGTGTGTGTGTGTGTGTGTGTGTGGGATGAGTTTGCACTCGCTCTGTTCCAGGGGAGAGAGCAGCTTCCTCCGCCGGTACCTGCTGTGCTTATTTTAGCTCTGAGCGACAGAAAGAGGGAGACAGACAGAGAGAGAAAGGGAAAATGTGTGAAGGGAGGGAAGGAAGTGAGTGCTACATAGAAAATGGGGGCATCGGAGGGAGGGGCATGCTCCTCAACTATAAGATATTTGTTGTGTGCACGTGAGCAAGACGGAGATATAAAGAGTTTGCTGGTTAACACACAGACAAATGGTTCCCCTGGGTATATTTCAGACTCGTCAGCTGAAGCAGCTCAGATTAATAAGCAACCTTTTCCTCTCCTATCCCTCCCTCTTGTTGCTGATTGAGCCACAAGTAATTTACTAATAATTAACAACTAGAAAAAATTGTGTACTGTAGATAAAAAGATACAGAGCAAAATAACCATGTTCAGGTCATTAATCAAATAATTTATCAAGAAAAAAAAGGATTTATATTTATTGTTGATTTAGTGCTTTTCTATCATTGTAAACCGAATATCTTTTGGATATTCTGGACTGTTGGTCGGACAAATCATGCAATTTGTTTTCTGTGATTTTAGAGAAGTCCATACAGCAGGAGTACAGTGCACTGCCCCTGTTTTGGTGTGAAGCCTCGGAGTCCCATGAATGAGCTTACTCAGTCAGAAAAAGGTCTGAAAGCCTGAAAAGGTCAGAACAACATGGAAGCACTCCAAAATCCTAATATGTTCAGCCTGTTGTCCTTTACATGACTGGCTGACTCTGCTGTTCTCAGACAGTGCATACTGAGAAAGTGGAGACCTCACTAGTCCATTACCTTTGCTGCACTCTGCAAGAACGTGAACATGTGTATCTCTTGTCTATTCAGCGTTCTGAGGAAGTGGAGCCGATCATTAATAATGTATTGTAATCTCACTAGCCTCAGCCTTTGTTTCGCAGTCTGCTTAAATCAATACTGAACAAAGACACCCACTGGAAAGAGTAGATGACGAGTCAACAGCTGCGTCATTAATTGCAGCATTGTCACTCTGGTGACCAATCACAATGCTTGATCACGACGGATAAGCAATTTCAAACCCTGTTATAGATCGCTGGGTGATTACTCATTTGCTCTATAGATTTCTGCAGTTTGAGCCAAATCAGTTTGGTCTTGACTGACAGAGGAACAACATACAGTATGTAGAGATTAAGATGTAATAATCTGGAGTC